CTCAAAGTAGCTATTGACAGTCTTCTGAGTTTCCACTGGGTCTGTGGAAGTTACACCCTTTTCATTCCTTATTGCTTGGATTTGAATTTTTTCTTTTTTCTTTTTGATGAGGTTAGCTAGGAGCTTATCAATTTTATTTAATCTGTCCAATAACCAGTTTTTTGTTTTGTTAATTCTTTCAGCTGTTTTGTTCGTCTCAATTGAATTAATTTCTGCTCTAATCTTTATGATTTCTTCCCGTCTTTCAGCTCTGGGTTTGGTTTACTCTTCCTTTTCTAGTTGTTGGAGGTGCAGCATTAGGGTGCTTTTTTGTTTCCATTATGTTTTCCTAATGTGTGAGTTCACAGCTATGAATTTCCCTCTGAAAACTGCTTTCATCGTATCCCATAAGTTCTGATAAGTTGTGCTTGAATTTTCATTGAATTGTAGATATTGTTGAATTTCTTCTTTAATTTCATTTGTGATCCATTGGTTGCACAGTAGGGTGTTGTTTAATTTCCATGTATTTAGGGGGTTTTGCTGTTTCTTGTCTCATTTATTTCCAGTTTCATTGCACTGTGGTCAGATAATGTGCATGGGATAATTTCTGTTTTCTTGCATATACTTAAGCATGACCTATGGACCAGCATGTGGTCTATTTTAGAAAACAACCCATGTGCAGCTGAAAAAATGATGTATATTCAGCTGTGGTTGGGTAGAACACTCTGTATATGTCCACTTAAGTGCATTTGTTCCAAGCTCTGGTTCAGTTCTGCTACTTCTTTGCTAATTTTTTTGTCTGTTTGACCTGTCTTTTTGGAACAAGTGGGTGTTAAGGTCTCCCATTAAAAATGAGGTATTGGATATTGGATTTTTCATATCCATTAAGATTTGTCTTATATAGTTGGGTGCTCCCGTGCTTGGTGCATATACATTTATGATTGTTACTTCTCCCTCTTGAATTTTCCCCCTAACCAGTATATAATAGCCTTCGTTATTTCCTTTGATCATTTTTGGTTTGAAGTTGAGACTGAGAATAGGATTGCTACCCCTGCTTTTTTCTGAGGGGCTGGGGCATGTAGTATTGTGTTCCATCCTTTGACTTTCAGCCTGTGAATTTCTTTTTGAGTTAAGTGTGTTTCCCGTATACAGCATATTGTTGGATTGTTCTTCCTAATCCACTGTGCCAGTCTATTTCTGTTAATTGGTGAAATGAGTCCATTTACATTGATAGCTATAATTGAGGTGTGTTAACTTACTATCGATCTGTTATTTACTTGCTGTTGCTTATTGCTTTTTCTCCTGTGTTTAATTTTTTGCCCTATTTATCGGCTCCCTTCTGTTCTCATTGGTGGAGTTCTCATCATTTTGGTCCCTCTCTAGAACATCATTTAGTAGTCTGTGTAGGGTTGGCTTTGTCATCATGAAATTCTTTAGTTGTTCTTTGTCATGGAAGTATTTCACTTCTCCCTCAAACTTGAAAGAGAATTTTGCAGGGTATAGTAGTCTTGGCTGGAATTTGTTTTCAAAGAGGACTTGAAGTACCCTACTCCATGCTCTTGCCTTCATGGCTTGTGAAGAGAAATCTGCCTTTATTCTGATGTGTTTTCCTTTAAATGTGATCTGTTTCTTTTCTCTAGTGGCTTTCAGTATATTGTTCTTGTGCTGGATTTCTGGGATCTTGACTATTATATGTCTCAGTGTGTTTTTAATTGGGTTGATGTTATTTAGAGTTCTATATGCTTCGCTTAGCTTAATGTCAGATTGCTTCCTCATATTTGGGAAGTTTTCTGCGATTACTTCTGCCCTTATTCTTTTTATGTCATTTGTATTGACTCCTTAATTCTCATTGATGCCTATTAGTCTCAAATTGTTCATCTTTGCATCATCTTGCCGGTGATATATTATTTTTTCCTGCATCCTAGTTGCATATAAGAGATCCTTTCTTACCTTTTCACTAGCTGTGACAGCATCTTCAAGATCTGAAATTCTATCTTCACTTTCATTCATATGGTTTTGCAAGCCTGTGATTGAAATTTTAAGTTCCTCTATATCTCTTTGACTCTGCTTCATGCAATCTATTTCTTTCCTGTATTGCTCATTTAAGGAATCTGTCACTTTTCTAATCTCTCTCTCTTTTTTTAATCAGTGTCTTCTTGAGAAGAAGATATTCTTTTACTTCAAAGATTATTTCTGATCTGATTTCCTCTGTGTTTCTGCATTTGATTCTTTACTTCAGACACTATTAGTTTAGAATTTTTCTTTTAATTTCAGAGATTAATTCTGATCTGAGTTCCTCTATACCTTTCTGCTGTTATGTCTTAAGGTCATACACTATTAATTCATACATTTCAGCTGAGCTAGTGTCCTCTGCACTTGTTCCGGGTGGGCTCGAGGCCTGAGATTGCATTTTGCTCCTTTTTGTCATTTCATATAGCACTGATCTCTGATCTTTGGTGTAGAGCTTTGGTGCAATTATAACTTACTGAAATTTGGGTGCAGATCTATTAAGTTTGAGTTTGTCCTGTTGTGCCTGGTTTGGGTCTAGCTGTTGTGCTCAGCTCCTTCCTGATGCAGCCCTTGGAAGTGAACCTGTTGTGCCCCTGGTGCAGGGGGTGCAGGGGAGCACAGAAGCCCTTGCACTCACTCCCAGGTCCTGGGTTTGAGCTGGGTCTGAGGGGTCCTGAGGGCGTGGCTGAAGCTATAACTCACTTGGTGGGCTAATGAGATGGGCTGTGGAGGAGTGGAAGGGTACAGAGGGCATGACAGAGGGTCCCACTCACACAGCGTGCCTGGGCTTTGGTCCGGAGAGTTTCCATGGGCACACAGCAGCCTGATCCTACATATTTTAAGGCCAGTTTGAAATACTAAATGAGACCCTGCTTCAAAACAAATTCAATGCTGAATGAAGTAGGAGTGAATAATGAATAAAAGAAAATTGCAGCTGACGGGAAACACCAGGTAGAGGTCTGTACGCATGTCAATGATAAGGAGTAAAATGGTGTTCTGTGCAGGGAGAGCAAAGTAGACTCGATGCAGTGTGGGAAAGCAGGAGAGATTGGTGTATGGCAAGATCAACTCCTGAACTAGCAGTTTTCCTCTGAAAATGTTACTAATGTGAATTAAAGGAAGAGCACTATGCTGGCTCAGCTTGAAAGTGGCTCAAAACTTTAGTCTTGGACGAAGGGAAAAAATTTACATAAAGTTACATGCAGAATTTTTTGTTATTGCTAAGTTCACCTAAACATCTTCTAGCCATAATTGGAAATTGTGTCTCTTTGTTAGTAGCTTGAAAATTAGTTAGGCAATGTACCTAGTTTTAAGGAGGAGGATGTTATATGGAAACACAAAGCACAGCATATGTTTTGTGGTAGTAAAGATTTTCCCATGAACTTCACACTGAGGAACTTCTGCACCCTTTACAGTTTTAGATATCAGTATGTTAAATTTCGCTATTATGTCTCACTACCCTGAGCTTAAAAGCTGTTGCCCTCTTTCCTCAGCCTTGCATAGTGATAGGATTATAGGTGAACATAACAGTATACCATGATCATAATCATTGTGCTTGGTTAATTAAACATCATCTTTTTTTTAAAATATATTTTAGGGAAGGGTTTACAGGGTTTTCAAGGTCTCGCTACTACATCAGACTTGGAGTGATCTGCCTGTTTACAGCCTCCCAAGAGCTGGGATTACAGGCACACGCCACCACTCCCAGTCTCAATTGCCATCTCAGCATGCCCCAGAGGTGGGGCTGGTACAGCAGGCCCAGGGATTGAGCCCCCAGGTCCTGCACCTGCTGCTTGCAGGTGCCTTAATCCACTGAGCTGTTTGGCCAGCCCATCATCAAGTATTTTTATGTCAAATATGTAACTTTTTCCCACTGTGAATGTCATTCACAAAAACACCCATGAACTTTCTTCCCCTAGATAAGAGTGTGCATTTGAGGTTAATTTTGTGTATAGTAGAAATTTCAATGGAGGCGAGAACCTAAGACTGTCATAATTTTTCAAGCAATAGAAATAACTATCCTATTAATCATAATGCTCTTTGAGGAATTTTATTTATTTGTAGTAATGGTGATTCAGCGTACTACCTTTTGATAACTTCAGGATAATCAAAACAGTATGACAGCTTTGGACATGAATCTTCACTTGAAGCAGTGTACTAGAGGTACACTCTGACTTGTCAATTCTTTGAGCTCTTGGTGGTACATTGACTTTGGGCCCATGATTTCTTGTTGGAGAATTGCTTAGTGCTCTGCAAAAAATGCACATTTGAATTCAAAAGGACAATTGGAAAAAGACAAAGATCAAACTTGGAGTGACTGTGGGTGTGTGCCTCTGCTCAGTATTGAGACTGAGCACATGAAATGTCGTCCTGTGAAGATGGTGGCTAAGTAAGAGGTGAAGAAGCCCCAGATTTAAATTACCTGGCTACTGTTATTTCCCTGTCTCTTCACCTCTGGTTGAGCTGCTCTGGGCTGCTTGTGCACTGTGCTTCAGGAGCGTGGTCTTGTAGGCCCCCTCTGAGACAGTGGTCAGGTGCCCTTGCTATGACCCAGCAGAAGGACCAGTGCTCATATTCTGCTGTTACTTTAGCAATGAGTGACAATCTAACATCAGAATTACTGTCTAAGGGAGCTAGATCATCGGTTCAGCACCTGCCTAGTAAGCACAACGTCCAGAGTTCAATTCCCAGTACCAAAAGGGAAGTAAAAATAAAGAATTGCTGTGTGGAAGAATACATAAACATGGATTTCAGCAAACACAAAGCTTTTTGATTTTCTTTTTTGAGACAGCGTCTCATTATGTAGTTCAGGCTGGCCTTGAACTAACTCACTTTGTAGGCTGCACTAGTCTTAAACTATAGAATCCTCCTACCTCAGCCTCCTGAGTGCTGGTATTACAGATGTGCACTATAGCACCAATCTTTCAGTTCAACTTTTTATGAGAGAAGTTGAAAGATCCCAGGCTGTGAGTCTCCAATTTCCTTCAGGAATCATGTGTGTGCTCATTTAGGAGGCAATGACCTTTGAGGATGTGGCTGTGAGCTTCACCATGGAGGAGTGGGCTTTGCTGGATCCATCCCAAAAGCAGCTCTACAGAGATGTGATGAGAGAAACGCTTGGGAATGTGGCTGCTGTAGGTAAGGCTGACTCCACTTTCTCACTGATATACTCAGAGAACATTATTGCTCATCAGTGCACTTTCATTAAATAGAATGTGAAGAATATCTTGGGCCTGGTTACATTAGATCATGAATCTAACTGGAATTTGTGTGTGTGTGTGTGTGTGTGTGTGTGTGTGTACTCAAGGTCTTACATTTGCCAGGCAGACACTGCTGCTGAGCTATATTCCTGGCCCCCAAAATCTATTCATGTTTATGCAAAATGTAGTATCTTCTTATATTTCTGTGTCTACAATTTAGGTAGAGCCCTGGATAACCATGAAGGTGAAGAAGAGCACACAAATGACTGGAGAAATCAAAGGTAATTTGTACTCAAAAAGAAAAGGAACTTCCTCAAAAGTGGATGCATAAACACAAATGTCACAACCAGGAAAATGTGACCATGTATAAATTTATTTAGTTTCACAATATTGTCCAATGATATATATTGTTTCAGTTTGTATAATCTGAAAACTTAATACATAAATATTCCAGTATCTGAGACATACTGCTATGATGCAACGAGTGACACTATCTGACATATAGGTACAAAGTTTTCTTTTGTGATTACCTCCATAAAAATGTGTGAGATTTTGTTTGGGTATATATGAAAAGAATTTTGAGCTTTGAGAAACACTTCTTCAGGATATTTGTATCTGTATCTATATCTGAGACATCTCCCTGTATCTATATTTATATGGAACTATTATATCTATATAAAAATTCAGTATCTAAAGGGCTAGGGAGATGGCTCAATGGAATAAGTGCTTCCCTGGCAAGTGCAAGGGCCGGAGTTCAATCACCAGTTCTGCCAAAAAAGAAAATCAGTATCTAGAAAAGTAGAAACCTTGAAGCAGTATTGAAAGTAGAAATGAATGCTACTGTTGTAATCCTTCAGAGAACTGAGCCAATTCATGTTTTAAAATTCTCCAACATTTTTGGTAAAGCATAGCCAATGTTATATGAGTGTAATGACTTCTCACAAAGTAAAAATAGAGTTTCCATTTGATCCAATACCTCTCCTGAGTACAGTCCCAAAAATTAAAATTATCATATTATGATATAATATATACATACACAAAGCAGAACTGTTTATCACAGCTAAGCCACAGAATCAGTCTATATATTGGTCACTGGATGACTGGACAAAGAAAAATTTTGATAGGCATGACATAGTGGTACATTCCCAGCATGCTTTTAAGCTGATTCAGCAGGATGGAAAGCATAATAGCACCAGCCAAATAGCAAGCAGGTGCAGGGCCCAGGGGTTCAATCCCCAGGTTTGCCATGCTGGCCCTGCCCTCTGGGTGCACTGAGACAGCAATTGAGACACTGTGTGGTGGTGCACGCCTGTAATCCCAGCTCTTGGGAGGCTGTAAACAGGTGGATCACTACAAGTCCAATCTTGTAGTGAGACCTTGAACACCCTATAGACCCTTCCCTAAAATACAAAAAAAAAAAAAAAATTCAAATTGATAGCATTCTTGGGAATGGCTGTTTCAAAGGTATCCTTTTGTGCATTCAGCTGTCAGAACTCCTTAAGAGGAATTAAACCAGAACTCATGATAAATCATTAATATGAGATACATTGTATTATGTCTGGTGTTTGTTTGTTTGTTTGTTTATTTGCTTGCTTTTGGTGTTTTGTTTTGTTTTTTAATAGAAATGAAGATTTGGAGATATGCTATCCACTAAATATGTCCACCATAGCTCACACTGGACTAAAGACATATGAGATTTGGGGATTAGAAGACAAACTGTATCAGTGTAATGAACACATAAGAACCTGCAGTGATTTCCACACCTCTCAGATGGATGCAAATACAAAGGCTGGAGAGAAATCCTATGAATGTGACCACTTCGAAAAATTCTACTGGGTTCTTAGTGAAAATACTCACCTTTTAGAGAGAATCTTTGTATATAAGGAAAACTTGAAATTCTCCAGCATACCCAATGATTTTCAGTATATATATAAACAATGTGGGAAGCCTTTTAATAGCCAAAGTCATTGTAAAACACATGAAACAATTCATACTGGGGAGAAACCCTATGTATGTAATCAATGTGGAAAAACTTTTAGTACACGAAGTTGTTACAGAAGACATGAAAGAAGACACACTGAGGAAAAACCCTATATATGTAAGCAATGTGGGAAGGCTTTTAGTTCACAAAGTCATTGTAAAACTCATGAAAGAATTCATACTGGGGAGAGGCCCTTTGTATGTAAGCAATGTGGGAAGGCTTTTAATTCACAAAGTAATCGTAAAACACATGAAAGAATTCATACTGGGGAGAAACCCTATGTATGTAAACAGTGTGGGAAAGCTTTTAGTGCACCAAGTACTTATAAAAGACATGAAAGAGCTCACACTGGGGAAAAACACTATGTATGTGAACATTGTGGAAAATCTTTCGGCTCACATGGAGATTGTAAACGACATGAAAATATTCACACTGGGGAGATATCTTATATATGTCAACAGTGTGGAAAATCTTTTACTTCACATAGAAATTGTAAAAGACATGAAAAAACTCACACTGGAGAGAAACCCTATGTATGTAAGCAATGTGGGAAAGCTTTTAATAAACAGAGTCATTGTAAAACACATGAAAAAATTCATACTGGGGAGAAACCCTATGTATGTAAGCAATGTGGGAAGGCTTTTAGCTCACAAAGTTATTGTAAAGCTCATGAAAGAATTCATACCGGAGAGAAGCCCTATGTATGTAAGCAGTGTGGGAAGGCTTTTAATTCACGAAGTCATTGGAAAACACATGAAAGAATTCATACTGGGGAGAAACCTTATATATGTAAGCAATGTGGGAAAGCTTTTCGTGCACAAAGTTGTTATAAAAGACACGAGAGAACTCACACTGAGGATACCCCCTGTGCATGTAAGCAATGTGGGAAAGCTTTTAATGAACAAAGTCATTGTAAAACACATGAAAGTATTCATACTGGGAAGATACCCTATGTATGTAAGCAATGTGGGAAAGCTTTTAATACACGAAGTTGTTTTAAAAGACATGAAAGAATTCATACTGGGGAGAAACCCTATGTATGTAAGCAATGTGGAAAGGCTTTTGGTTCACAGAGTCATTGTAAAACTCATGAAAGAATTCACACCGGGGAGAAGCCTTTTGTATGTAAGCAATGTGGGAAGGCTTTTATTTCACAAAGTCATTGTAAAGCTCATGAAAGAATTCATACTGGGGAGAAGCCCTTTGTATGTAAGCAGTGTGGGAAGGCTTTTAATTCAAAAGGTAATTGTAGAACACATGAAAGAATTCACACTGGGGAGAAACCCTATATATGTAAGCTATGTGGGAAAGCTTTTAGTGCACAAAGTTGTTATAAAAGACATGAAAGAACTCATACTGGGAGAAATACTGTATGTGAACAGTGTGGAAAATCAGCTCATATAGAGATTGTAAAAGATGTAAATGAACTCACACTGGGGAGCGAACCCGTGTATGTAAGCAATGTCGGAAAGCTTTTAATAAAGTCATTGTAAAATACATCAAACAGTTCACACTGTGGATAAACCATTCATATAATAAGTGTGGCAAAGCTTCTCTTGCACAAAGTTATTATAAAAGACATGATAAAAAAAAATAAAAAAAAAGACATGAAAGAACTCATACTGGGGAAAAACCTTATGTATATAAGCAATGTGGGTAAGCTTTCCTCACAAATGGTGTTATAAACATGAAAGAATCTACACCACAGCAAATCTATGTATGCAATGTGGAAAACTTCAGTACAAAAGCTTATTGTAAACTATGTTTAAAAACACTGAGAAAAAACTATATAAGCAATATGGGAAAAAATTTACATTATTGTGAATTACATCAAACATCAAAAAATACTGGGGAAAATCCCAGTGTATATGAACAATATGGAAAAGCTTTTACCATTAGAAAGTACTTTCTGGGGCCAGGGAGATGGCTCAGTGGAGTAAGCGCTTCCTGGGCAAGCACAAGGGCCTGAGTTCAATCCCCTGTTCTGCAAAAAAATAAATAAATAAATAAATAAAAAAAAGTACTTTTCAGACATAACATGGGAAAATATGCAATGTGGAAAACCTTTTAGCACACCTGGCAATTGTAAAAAACATGAAAAAGATCACACTTCACATTAATTCTGTATAGGAAAGCAATGTGGAAATGTGTTCAGTATTTGTGGTGTATGTAAACAACATTAAGTGACAAACTGTACAGAAACCATATGCGTGTGAAATATATGGGAAAGCATTTATTTTGTCAAATAAGTGAAAAGTTTGATAATCCTGTAAAGGTATCTCAAGTAGTAGAAGCCAACAGGACTAATGAACACAAAATGCTTCATGTCAGTATTTCTCCATAAAATACAATCCCAGATAGAAATATCCTAAAGTATATACATTATGTGTTTCTCGGTAAATCATTTAAATATCTAAATTATGTTTCTGCAGTATTTAATAGAAAAAATATTGAATTGCTATAATTAGGTATTTTTATGTGTCTGAGCTTAATACATGGAGTCCTGATTAAGCATGATGAATTGAAATGTATTTTTTATTTTAAATTAGAGTATTTCTGTAATTTTTGTTTGGTCTTTAACATTAGGTATAGGCCATAAAAATTGATTTTGCCACTATATTTGTTTTAAATTTTTAAATTTTAGGTATGTGCACTCTATTCTGTGTAACAACAGATATACTTGAATTTGATGCCATATTTTATATTAAGATACATATTTTGAGACTTTTAAACATGTTTTAATATATTTTTATTTTTTAAAGAATACAAAATAGTAATAAGAACATTAGAAATGATACAAAATTTCACTAAACAAAGTAATAGTAATTTAAAAAATGGTTGCTAATTTGCAAGATGTTATCTTCAAATTAGCTGCTTAGGTTACCAGATATAAACATACAAAATTGGTTTGAAAAGCAAGAGTTATGAAGAATTTAAAAAATTCAAATCTTAACTGCTCATTTGAAAAGACTAGCAGAAATTGGCCCTATAGTTATCCAAATTATCCTGCATATATTTTTCCGTTTTATTTGTCCTTTTCTCAGTTTTTCCTTCAGATTGTACAAATTCTTTCTCTTTCATGGTATCCATTGTGCCTTCCCAATTTTATTTCCTCTTTCAAGTTCTCATACTAGCAAGATAATATGTTTGCACCTGTGGGTCTGATTTATTTCACTTACCAATTGAGTCTAGTTGCAACCATTTATCTACAAAAGACTTGAATTAATTTATCTTTTTTTTAATAGCTGAGTGATACTCCATTGTATAAAAAATACCATATCATTTTTATTCATTCCTCAGCTGATGGCTATTTGTGTTGTTTCAAATATTTAGGTATAGGGGCCGGGGAGATAGATAGCTCAGTAGAACCAGCACTTGCCTGGTAAGTGCAGTGGCCTGAGTTCAATCCCTGATTCCACACACACACACAAAAATTAGCTATGAAAGATTTTGCTGCTATAAACATGGATGCACATATATTATTTTGGTATGATGATTTTAGTTCTTTTGAGATATAGGATGGAATAGCTAGCTTCAGTGGGGCCTCGATTCCTAGCTTTTTGAGGAATCTGCATACTTATTTCCATAATGGTTGTACAAGCTTGCACTCCCACCAACAGTGAAAAAGAGTTTCTTTTCCCTAACAACCTCTCCAGCATTTGTTATTGGTTGACTTCTTGATGATAGCCATTCTTTCTGGCTTTGGATGTTATCTCAGCATTGTTTTTATGTATTTGGTATAGGGTCTCACTACACAGCTCGAACTCCTAGTGATCCTGATTTCAGCCTCCCAAGCACTGGATTTACAGGTACGTGCCACCATGCCCAGACTGGCCCTGGCCCAGCACACCCAGGGGCAGTGCCGGCGCTGCATGAAGTACTGGGGATGGAACCCCCGTCCCTGTGTTTGCCTAAGTAGGCACTTAATCCACTGATCTATCAAATTTGAATCTCTCGAGTGGTCAATGATGTTGAACACTTTTATATATTTTTGTGCCATTTATATCTCATTTTTGAAGTGTATATTCATCTCAGATGCCCATTTTTGGAGTAGTCTCCGAATTTTGGAGGCCTGAGTTTTCATATTCTTTATATGTTCTAGATAGTCCTTTGTCTGAAAAACAGTATGATATAATTTTATCTCACTTTATGGGTTTTTGTGGGGGGGGGAGTTTTTTCCCTCTGTTGGTTATTTTGATGTAAGAAACTTTTCAAAAAGATGAGATCCAATTATTCTTTCAAGCATTTCCTGTGTAGTTTGATTTTTGTTCATGAACTCTCTATCCGTATGTCCTTAGGATTTCTACCTACTTTCTCCTCCAGAATATTTGGTGATTCTGTTTTAATATTTAAATTTTTATCCATTTTGACTGTAGTTTTGTGCATAATGATAGACATGGGTTTATTGTAAGCCTTCATGATGTGTAAAGCTAATTTTCCCAGCACCACTTATTAAAGAGGCTATCTTTCTTCCAGTGAACATGTTTGGCCCCTTTGTCAAAGACAAGGTGGCTGAGTGTGTTTGTAGTTGTGTCGGCAACTTCTAATCTGTTCCATTAATCTGATCAGGCCTGCTTTTTTTGTTTGTTTTGCCAGTACCATGTTGATTTTATCACAGTAGCTTTGTAGTACAATTTCAAATCAGATTGTGAGGCCTCCTGTCTTTCCTTTGATGCCCCGTATTACTTTTGCTATTCTAGGTCTTTTCTTGTTCCAGATGAATTTTAGGAAATTATTCTCTAGCTCTGTGGGTATATTAATGATATTTTAATTGGGATTGCATTATTGAATCTGTATAACAATTTTGGGAGTGTGGCCATTTTCACAATTTTGTTTCTTCCTGTCTAGAACCAAATAATCTTCCATTTTCTGAAATCTTCTTTGATCTTTTTTCAGAGCACTATAATTTCATTTTATAAAGCTTGATTTTTTTTCGGTGTTATTTTGAAAGGCATGGTTTCCATAATTTTTCTCTCAGTGGGCTTGTTGTTTCTGTATAGAAATGCTGTTGGTTTTGGGGTGTTGAGTTTGTGTTCTGCTATGCCACTGAATTTGATTATTAAATTTACAAGTCTCTTCATTGAGTTTTTGGGGTGTTCTGTGTCATGTCATCTCTGAATGGAAATAGTTTCTTACTTTCCTATCCTTATTCCTTTTCTTTTCTCTCATCTAATTGCTCAGGCTAATGTTTCTGGAGCTATGCTGAAAAAGAGTGGTAATTGTAGACATCCTTATCTTGTTCCTGATTTGGGGGTAAAAGCTTTTTTGATCATTATGATGTTGGCTATTGGTTTGTCATAAATGTCTTTTATCAGATTGAGATTTACTATCTTTTGATTTTCTGTAGGTCTTCTATCATAAGTGATGGAATTTATCAAAAGTTTTCTTTCATCTATTGAGATGATCATGTGATTTCTTCCTTTGGCTCTGTCAATGTGGTGTATCACATTTATTGCTTTGTGTATTTTGAAACATCTCTATTCCTGGGGTGAATCCCACTTTGTCATGATGTATAATCTTGATGATTTGCTTCATTTTCTTTACTAGTATTTTGAGTATTTTTGCATCTTTGTTCATTAAGGAGATTAGTGTGTAGTTTTTTTTTTGGTTGGGTCTTTCTCTCATGTCAGTATTAGAGTAATACTTGCTTCCAGGTATGAGAGCAAAATTGCTTCCCTTTCAATTTCATCAAAGAGTTTGTGGAATATTAACATTAAATATCTAAATTTCATACACAATTCAGCTGTAAATCTATCAGGACTTCAGCCTTCCTTTGGTGAAAAGTTATTAGTTAAATTTTTAATTTCATTGTGTGATACAGAACTATCCTGAGCTTTATATGTTCTTGCTTCAGATTTGGCAATTTATATTTTTCTAGAAATCTGTCCATTTTTTTCTGTTTTCCATTCTATGTGAGTAAAGATTTTCGGTGATTATGTGAATTTCTATAGGATCTGTAGTGATTTTGATATAGGGGAATGAAACTCCCAACCTGAAAGATAACCTGTGTTGAACTCATGTTCTCTAAAAGTGAAGAATGAATTTTAGGGACAACAGAGGTTAAGAGCAGAATGCATTTGTTGGGGGAGAGGAAGCTTCTGTCTGAGAGAAGGACAGAAGGGGCCAGCCAGATAGCTCAGTGGACTAAAGCGCCGGCTTAGGCAAGTGCAGGGACCAGGGTTCGATCCCTGGCACCACATGCCATGCCATGCCAGCCCCGCCCTGCGGTGCATTGGGAGGGTGGGTGACTGAGACTGGGTGTGGTAGTGCACGCATATAATCCCAGCTCTTGGAAGGCTGAATGCAGGAGGATCACTTCAAGTCCTATCTGTATAGCACGACCCTGGAGATCCTATACTAAATACATATATTTTTTTTAATGCGAGAACTGAGTGGGTTTCCCATGAATCTTGTCATTTCTAGGAATTTTTATAGAGCAAAACTGAGGTAAGGCAGGTCTAAGGTGAAAAACATGCGAACTTGTACGTGAAGTGGGACACAACTAATAGTGAACCTGTAAGGTTCCAAGAACAGTTGCTCAGGTAAAACCAATTAAATCTAGAACCAAAAGGGA